AATGTAGTGGCCCGGTCTAGTGCTGAAGCTGAATATAGAGCAATGGCATCTCTCACTTGTGAACTAGTGTGGGTGAAACAATTCCTTCAAGAAGTGAAATTTTGTGAGATCCAACAGATGAAGATGTATTGTGACAATCAAGCAGCTCTCCACATTGCCTCTAATCCGGTGTTCCTTGAAAGGACCAAACATATAGAACTTGATTGTCATTTTATTCGTGAAAAATTGTTGTCTAAAGAAATTTGCACTGAATTTGTCGGGTCCAATGATCAACTTGCAGATGTGTTGACAAAGTCTTTAAAAGGACCTCGAATTGAATTTATTTGTTCCAAGCTTGGCACATACAATTTGTATGCTCCTGCTTGAGGGGGAGTGTTAGAATTATTATTAGTTAATGGTTAGTGGTTAGTAATTAGTAGTTGGTGGTTGATGGTTGTTAGTAGTTGGTGGTTGTTATTTTAAATGTTGTAATCCTATATATATATATATGAGATCATAGAGTGGAGTAATGCATCCCACTAAATTAGAAATCTTCTTTTCACTCTCTTTACTCTCTTAACTCAAACACAATTGGATCACTGATTACCCGGCTCAGCCCATGACAGAAAATTGCACACCCCAACGGCGTATATGGTATTTTATTATATCAATACAAAGAGATGATATAAAATATATACAAGAGACCTAAACTATTTTAGGAAATATAATAACTCTATTTTATGCTAGGATCCCTTGATTTATGGGATTGTTCCTAATTATTCAAATCTATACAGATTACAAGGAAATATACAAATTTCCTTATTTATTCTTTCCTAAAATACTATTTGATTTCTCACACTCCCCCTCAAGCTGGTGAATAGATGTTTTCCATTCCCAGTTTGGATACAATCTTCTCAAAATTATGGCAGCCCAGTCCCTTGGTAAGAATGTCTACAATTTGGTCTTGAGAGGACACATATGGAGTGCATATCAAGCCATTATCAAGCTTTTCTTTGATGAAGTGTCTGTCTACTTCAATATGCTTTGTTCTATCATGTTGCGTCTGGGTTGTGGGCTATACTGATTGCTTGACTTATTATCACAATAGAGCTTCATAGGTTCTTCCCACTTTATCCTCAAGTCTTCTAAGATGATTTTAAGCCATAGCAACTCACATATACCTTGTGCCATGGCTCGGAATTACGCTTCAGACCTTGGACCGAGCCACTACACCTGCTTTTGCTTCTCCAAGTCACAAGATTTCCTCCAAGAAAGGTGCAATATCCCGTAGTTGACCTCCTATCCACAATTGACCCTGCATAATCGGCATCGAGTATAGGCTTCAAGTTTCACATTACCATTCCTTTTGAATAGAATCCCTTTTCCTGGAGTTCCTTTAAGGTACTGTAAAATTACGTGGGCGGCTTGTAAATGGGTCTCCTTTGGGCTATGCATAAATTGGCTAATTAGACTCACTTGCATAGGCAATATCCGGCTCGATATGTGACAAATATATAAGTCTGCCCACTAATCTTTGGTACATATCTTTTTCAACGACAACATCTTCTTACTGCATTTCCAAGCTTTAGGTTTGGTTCTAATGGGGTACTAGCGAGGTTTGCAAAGCTGCCTTGCCGGTTTCCTTGAGCAAATCGGTGATATATTTCTGCTGAGATATAAATATCCCTTTCTCGGAGTGGGCAACTTCAATTCCCAAAAAATATTTTAGTTTTCCCAAAGTCTTGATCTCAAATTCCTTGCCTAAGCATTGACTCAATAATCGTTGCTCTTCTTTATTATCTCCAGTTAATATTATGTCATCCACATACACCAATAATATTGTTACTCCCCCGACTTGGAATGTTTAAAAAATAAAGTATGGTCCCCTTGGCTTTGTTTGTAACCCGGACTTGTCATAACTTTAGTAAACCTGCCAAACCATGCACGGGGGACTGTTTTAACCCATATAATGCCTTTTTCAACTTGCAAACAGTGTTGGTAGCAACATCTTTACCATATCCGGAGGTATCTCCATATAGATTTCTTCTTCAAGGTCTCCATGTAGGAAAGCATTCTTAACATCAAATTGTTCCAAGTTCCAACCATAATTGGCGGCAAGGGACAATATCACCCTAACTTGTGTTCATTTTGGCAACCGGAGCAAAGGTCTCCAAATAATCAACTCCATAGGTTTGGGTGAACCCTTTGGCAACTAGTCTTGCCTTATATCTCTCAATTGATCCATCAGCCTTGTATTTCACTTGTATAGACCCATTTACATCCAAGCTGGCCTCTTTCCTATTGGTAAGGTGACTAACTCCCAAGTGTTGTTTTTCTCCAATGCCTCCATCTCTTCATCCATGGCTTGCCTCCATTTTCTGTCAAACAATGCCTCGAGATAGGGTATTAGGTAGAAGTACAATGTTTAGGTTTACTAGGAAGGTTTTATGGGTAGGAGAGAAATTTTTAAAGGACGGGTAATTTGAGAGAGGGTAGAGTGGTCTGTTTGGTGCATTTTCTTGTTCCTTTTCTAATGGCAATTGGGAGGTCGGGATCATTTTGGGTTTCAATTTCAACCTGTACAGTTTGGAGAAAAAATTGTTACCTCTTTTTGTGGAGTCGAGTTGGATTCTTGAACATGGCTTGATCCTGGAATGGCCTTAGTCTTCCTTGAGTACACCAGCTTCTTACCAAATTTTCCAGTTTCAACATCTTCTTGATCAGCTTCACAATTAATTTCACTTTCTTGACCAACTTCCTTTGCTTGACCAATTCCTTGACTTGTTTCATTTGTTACAACTTCAATTTGATCTTCAATTTGATCTTGTTTAGGTTCAAATGTCAAGTCTGGAAGAATGGGAAAACCAGAATCACTACTTTCCTTATCTTCCCTGAAACTCTCCCCTTGAAGATAAGGTTGATGGAAATAGCCCTCTTGTTCATTGAAGGTAACATCCCTAGACACAAAGAATTTTTTGTATGGGGGGTGGTAGCATTTATACCCTTTTTGAGTGGGTGAGTAACCAACAAAGACACACTTTAAGGCTCTAGGATCAAGTTTTCCCCTGTCTGTACTATGAATATGGACATATGAGATGCACCCAAAAATTCTTGGTTTAAGATTATTTGTAGTAGACAAGTTTGGATAGAAAGACGACAAAACTTCCATAGGGCTTTTTGATCCTAAGACTCTAGAGGGTAGTCTATTGATAAGGTATGTTGCTGTAAGGACAGCTTCCCCCCAGAAATTTTTTGGGACACTTTTTTGGAACAACAATACCCGAGTCTGATTTAATAGATGTCCATTTTTCCTCTCTGCAACCCCATTCTGTTGTGGTGTTTTGACACAAGAGGACTCATGAATTATACCTTCTTTTTGACAAAAAGAATTAAGGACATGATTGAAGTAATCTTTGGCATTATCGACCTAAGCCTCTTAATATTAACACCAAACTGATTTTTTATCATGGAGTGGAAGTTTAGGAAGACGAAGCCGACTTTTGATTTTTGTTTAAGTAGGAAAACCCAAGTGACCCTTGTACGAGTCATCTATAAAGGTGACAAACCATCGAGTACCGAGACACATTTAGAATATTAGAAGGTCCCCATACATCGGTATGAACAAGATAAAAAGGGAAATTGCTAATTCTATTACTTATTGAAAAAGATATACGTTTGTGCTTAGCAAGTTCACACACCACACAATGAAGACTCTCAACATCTAACTTGGTAAACAGAGAGGAAAATATAATTTTGATCACTCCAAAAGAGGGATGTCCCAACCGACAATGATAAAGCATGATTTTTTCTCTGTTGTTCATCAAGGATTCAGATATGAAGGAGTGAGAGATTCTATTCTTGCTAGGCGAGACTTGGATCTTCGAGATAATAAAGGCCATTCCATTCTCTAGCATGTCCAATCATCTTCCCAGAATCCTTATCCTGAAATACACAATGATCGTTGGAAAAAACAACTTTACATGACAAATCCTTTATAAGTTTTTGTATAGACACTAGGTTCGTGGACAACTTTGGGACATGGAGAACGTCTTTTAAGGTTATTAAAGGATTGATTTGGATATTTCCTTGACCAGCTGCAGTTATAAGGGTTCCATCTGTTGTGGCAATTTTCTTGTTGTTGGGACATGGGGAATATGTGGAGAAGTGTTTGGCTAATGGTGTCATGTGATCTGTGGCTCCGAGTCCAATATCCAATAATGGTTAAAAGGCGTATCCGAGACATTTAATCCAAAAGAAGGTGGAAACTTACCTGAGTATGTCAAAGAACACATACCTGTAGGTTTTTCCAGACTTACTAAGAATGGTTTTCACCCTTTCTATCTCCTCTTCCCTTGACATTATAGCAAAAAGGTGCGATGCAACAACAATGCGAGTCGTCGTCTTAGGATTATGAAAAAATGCGACGGCAATGCGAGTCTGTCGTCTTAGGATTAAGAAAAATGCAGCGAGCAATGTAAGTGCTCAGTCTTAGGGTTAAGAAAAATGCGGCGACAATGCAGGTCGCCGTCTTAAGGTTAAGAAAAATGCGGCAGCAATGCGAGCGGCAGTCTTAGGGTTACAAAATATGCAGCGGCAATGCGAGTGCGCCGTCTTAGGGTTTATCGAGCGCAGACAGAGCTTCCTAGATCGGAAGCTCGATACCATCTTGAAAAATAGATTAAGCTGAAATATGATATTTTATTATATCAATACAAAGAGATGATATAAGATATATACAAGAGACCTAAACTATTTTAGGAAATATAATAACTCTATTTTATGCTAGGATCCCTTGATTTATGGGATTGTTCCTAATTATTCAAATATGTACAGATTACAAGGAAATATACAAATTTTCTTATTTATTCTTTCCTAAAATACTATTTGATTTCTCACAGTTGTAATCCTATATATATATATATATGAGATCATAGAGTGGAGTAATGCATCCCACTAAATTAGAAATCTTCTTTTCACTCTCTTTACTCTCTTAACTCAAACACAATTGGATCACTGATTACCCGGCTCAGCCCATGACAGAAAATTGCACACCCCAACGGCGTATATGGGCATAACATTGGTATCAGTACAGCACCAGTAACGTTAGCACTCTCATCTAAAGTTAATACCTGTGCTACATAACAGTATAAACCTTAGAAGACTACATCTGTCAGCACCACAACCAAAAACATTGTAAAGCAACAGAAGTACTTTGTATATTACAAATAACAAATTTACACCAATTAGTCATGTAGACATAGCAAGCATTAGTTTCAGTAGATGAATTTTGCCTTGTTGATCCAATAATAGAAAATCCAGTACCTTCCTTGGTTTTGATGTCATTGACATTTCTTCTGCCGTAAGTGATCGAAGGAAAGCCATGATTGAACATATCACAGGAGACAACAGGAGCACCGCCAATCCAAACTCAAACTACAAGCAATGAATGTTCAGAAAATATGAAGATGAGCATATATTGATAATTAGGTTTAAACAATTAGAAACCAATGATCAAACTACAAATAACAGACTTCCAGAATAAAAGTATGTATTTCAGTCTCCCAAAACAAAGAAGAAATATTATGGGGAAAGACTCAGTACTCACCTGCTGATGCGTTGCATTGATAATTTTGATTGTTTTTGGACGAAATATGCCAACAATGATGGTTTCAAGTATGAAAATAAAACTAAACAGAACCCATGCTCGTTCTGGAGTACCGGTAATGTGATGCAATACAAGTCTGCACAACTGAAGCCACTTTTCAAGCCCATGTAGCCTCAGCTCTTCAGATAAAGAAATTTGATTTGGTATGGCATGGTCAACACTGGCATTATCAGTATTTTCATTATGATCTCTATCTGCATCCATGCTACTTCTTTGCAACAATGCCAGGATAGTTGGATCTAATTCTAGACTTTTCTCTTTTAACATCATAGCAAAATTTGGATCCAATCCTTTATCTTGTAATAAACTACTAAGTTCTCGATCACCTTGTCTTGTCCTTCTTTTCAGCATAGTTGCGATCCTAGGGTCATTCAACCTTTCTTGGAAAGCAAGTGCCAAATTCAAATCCAGTGTTTGTTGATTTGCAGAGTTTGACGCACTAGAGTCATTCCCTTGACTATCAAGACCACTACTAGAACAAACCACCAAAGAATTGTTGTGATCCAAATTTCTATCATCAGATGATGTTCCACCTTCTGGTTCATGAACAGCTGAGCGACAAGAGCTGCTATGTAATGCTAAACTTGACCTTCCGCTATCTATGCTTTTATCACTATTTATTCCATCTGGCAAACTAGCAGTTTGAGACAGCAAATTATTCCAATTGCTCCCATCACCTGCAGCCAATACTCTGCCAGCTTCAATTACATTACCAAGATTACCGGCTTCAACACTACTACTTCGTTTCATACTTGAGCCACAGCCTTCAGAAAAGCTAGATGAACTGTTGTGCTCCTTTTTACGAAACCCTTCTCTCAGGCGAACTACAGTGCTTTGTAAAGCATCTCTCCTTGCAGCCAATGGGTTTGTGGCTGACAAATGGCGAGAAACAGCTGCTCCCAGTAATACAGTTGCCATAACAGCATAGCTGATACAATGCCCTAAATACCTGTGAGAGAAAAGACGATATAAGTCAACAAGCCAATAATACATGCAGTTGAAGAGAGAAAAAGGTTACATTTCAAAGTATAAAACTAACCAATATTGTACTCCAAAACAGATAAGAAACACACGAGATGTTCCAGCAATAAACAGTGCTGCAACACGACTGTCAAGAAGTTGAAAACCATACAGGCAAGCTCCCAAATTCCAGTCTACAGGACAAGAAGTGCACAGAAAAAAAAAAGGCAAATCAAATAAAAAGAGCTGAAAAGTGCACAAGAATTTTCTGTTAAGATTAAAAATATTATAAATAACAAAAAGAGCTAATTAAATCACCAAGAATAATAACAGCAACTGATGTAATTGCTCCAAGCCAATTTTCCTCTTTAGCTGTGAGACCATACAAGATGGAGTATACTAACAGAACAAATAGTGAGCCAAGATAGAGCAGTACAAGATGAGAAGCCCTAGAAAGACAAACAAAAACCATGTGAACTTGGAAGAAATCTTAATGAAGTATTACTACATCCAGATAAATATTTAGAAGCAAAACTAAAGGTTCAATGCTCAGCAATGTAACAAGACCCATTATTTAAAAACATTAAAAAGGATATGAAAATAAGAGCAAGATAGATGCCTGCCAACATAAGAAGATCCAACAACTGCTTTGTGTCCACTAAAACAATGAGAACAAGAACAAGAACTAGACATACCTTCTAGATTGCCGAGGATACAACTCATTAGGGTCTGGGGGTTCAGGTAAACATGCCACAGGACCTACTTCAATACAATCTGAATAAGCAAACTTGTATGCCCTTCGCACATATTCATCCACATCCAAGCCATTCCCTACAATGAATAACACTATTAAGAATATTCAAATATCAAAACAGCAATAAAGAATCAAACCAAAAAGCAGCATACAAGCATAGGGAAACCATCCACATCATAAAGAAACATCACCTATCACCATTATAATAAAATTATCTACTGTAGTTGTAGCACAATGAAAAATACCAAACTAAAAATGAGTGTCGTGCATATGGGAGCAAAAATACTATACCTTTTGTCACTACACGGCAGTCATTTTTAAATTTGATCCTTATACTTTATCATAACTCAACTACAATATCATAATATTATAGAAATTATCAAAATAGAAAGAAAACAAGTATAGGCATGTTTGAACAGACATCTCCATAAAAACTTTTAGGAGAGAAAAATAAGAAGAATAATTAAAATTACCTTCTCCATAAGCTAAAATTAGCTTAGGCATAAGCTAATTTGTAAAATCTCTCTCATCTAGCCACTCTAAATTTTTATTTTTGACTTGTGCATGAGCTAACTATAGCTTTATGGGGAAGCTCACAGCTCATTTCATTTTTTTCTTGTTGTTTTTCTCTTATAAAAGTGCTTATGGAGAAGCTCGTCCAACCAGACACTATTATTAATTCTGAATGAGAAGAATACAATGATAGGTAAGGTAATTCTCTGTTACAGAAGCCCTCAGAAAATTACCTTTAATAGGTGTCAGTTACAACTGACTAACAGAAAAGAGAAAACAGTATAACAGAAAAGAGAAAGAGAAACATCTATAATAGCAAACAGAACAGACAACATTTAAAAAGACTAAGAATGATGTTAGACACTTTCTTCACGCATGAAAAGAATGATAGTGTACAACAACTAAAGACAGATCCTATCCTTTAATAATAAACAGGAGTAGCAATTTGTAAATGAACTAAGCAATTCAAAAACATACCATTAAAAACCATCCTGCAAATAAATAGCATGTTGATTGCTAAAGCAATTGCAGAGACTCCAAAAAAGAAACCAGATGGAGAATATCGGTCAGACGCTCGTGATCCAGTTGTAACATATACAGCACAAAGTTCATATGCACAGAGTAAAGCAACAGCCAAAAGAAGCAAGATTGCGACAGCCCCTGTCAAGAAAAAAGTGAATGTTGGCCATAGCAATTGTAACTTAAAAAATGGGGAAAAAACTAAATAAATCATACGATGCCAAAACATATAATATATCGATGTAAAACCAGGTACATACACTTTGCATGTTTAATATGTAATCAGTTAGATAATAAGAAGAAATGCAATAGGATATCAGCTTGGACTGTAAAAAGTTCAAATGCCCTAGGCATTCTGGACAGAGTAATAACCCCCAAGCACAATCCCATAAGACTAGCTCACATCAGCTTAATTATTTGAGCTTTTAGCTGTACAGCCTTTGCTGTTTGATCTTATTCAATTGCTATCTCCAGCTGATTCTCAAATATAGAAACATCAACAAGAGAATTTTGCTTATGCAGAAACCACAGCAAGAGAAGGATAGTCATCAGAAAGTGTAATTCAGATGATTTCTATCAACTTTTGACCTCACCCATTGCTTGTTTTCTCCCAGTCTTTTTTTAAAGCCAAGGTCCCACATCCACCGATACATTTTTGCACAAACACCCCAACAAGAGTGCAAAAAGAGTGAACACTTGATTGAGACCACAAACTCTTCATTTTTTTTAACACTACGGTCCCATCTTAGTTATGGGTGGCGCTGCCCATACATTTGCTGATTGAAGAATCAGAGACCATGATCTATTCTCCAGTTTCTCAGCCAACAATAACTCCTAACCTCTCATCTCATCTAATTTTTATTCACACCTTCAGTTATTCTTGCTTTATTCATGACCCTAATTCAGAGAAAGAGTTTTTTGGTTTTTGCTCGTTCACTTAGATGTGGTTTTGCATGTCCCCCAAGCACTTCACACCATTTTTCAAATTCATGATCTTCTAAAGGACAAGTAAAATATGAGGTACTTCATATTCATTCTTCGGTCCTTTCTGTTTACACAAAAATCGTATTTACACTACCAATGCACCCAACATCCTCTTCTACACCACCACTTCTGACTTATCGATGTCATCCACAACCAAAACAGCCTAAACCCCAAGAGAACTACCACTAGCATGGCAATAGAATTGCAGAATGACACAATTCAGCTCACACAATTTCTCTCTAACCTATCCAAATGTCAGTGACCTTCATAATTATGAAATTTATTTGTTCAAATTACTAAACTTTTTTCTAATACATACCAGATGAGTTATCATATTTTGTCTTTATCCCACTATGCAACTGTCCCTTTCTAGTCTTGATTTTTTTTCCTATCATTTGAATGGGGCATCTTCTTATCAAGATGGAGACAAGCAGTGATTGAAGAAATATTTGTCTACAATCTAGTGGAACTGAGGAATTGTCAAATTTGTTCCCCTTCTTTAAGGTATGTCCAACATTGCCTGTGGTCAAATAGTCAAATTATTTACCCTAAGCTTAAAGAACGACTAGTTGCAAAGAGCCACACTAAAATTAAACTTGGACCTCAATTAAAAAGATAAATTGTCTCCAGCAGCTAAAATAGCCTGCTCTAAAACTTTATATATGACAGCCCTTCACTGTTGGCTTTTTTGTAAACTTGGTACCAAGAATGCCTTTCAACACGGAAAATTCCAGGAACTACATACAGCAACTGCCAAGCATTGGAACATAAGAGGAATCTCTAATGCTGTTTTAGCATTCTCATGCAACAGTTGATTTGACTTTTAATCAAACAGATAGCTCAATTTTATGTCAAAAATCACTATCTCAGTCAAGCAAGTATTTGGTTTATGTTAATGATATATTTATTACAGATAGCAGTCATCATAGCATTCATTTGGTTAAAAGGATATGTTGGAAGTCCCACATCGTCTACCTCATATCATTTGGTATGGTTTAAATACATGTTAGGTTACTTCACATATTGTCAATTGGTTTTATGTTGGAACCTTAACATGGTATCAAAGTCAAAGCCTAACATCTTTCCGGTTATTGTCATGGGTCAAAAGTTGCACTTTAGTTGGGTCAAAAATACCCTATGCCTGATCCGGCAAGCTTCGTTGGAGGGAGCGTGTTGAAAGTCTCACATCGCCTACCTCATGTCACTTGGTATGGTTTAAATACATGTTAAGTTGCTTTACATATTGTCAATTGGTTTTATGTTGGAACCTTAACAAGATATAAATGACATTAGTCAATTTTGGATCAAAACCAGAAGTGAATTTACTCATTCGAAGGTCAAAATTACTATTCATCAACCAGCATTCCTTAGACATGTAAAGAATGAATGCATGTTGAAAGGGACACCTAGACCTAGAGATAGCCCAAATGCTTATCTTGCTTTAAACATTGTTAGTAAGTGTTACAATATTTTAGGGCCGATGACTTTTACAAGTAAAATATGTCATATCCATGTATTATTATATTTTCAATGAATCTTGTTCTATTTAATTTCTTAACTTTAGCCCCATAATTTCAACATCATACGTCATCCTCTATAAATATTATCGGGTTATTATTTTTAGGCAAATTCTCAATGTCAATTTTCTTTACTTGGCATAAAAAATTTTCACCCTACTGTAGTTCCCAGTGTTCTCATTTTATTTTGTTACAACTTGATGACCACTTGCCAACATGTCCAGTGAGCTTTTTGACAATGTTTTCTCCAGACCAGGTTTGCACTGTAGCCAGTAAATCCTGTGCAATTTATTTCATCTTTTTTAATGAGAAATTGTGCTAATTTTATAAATGGAAGGCTCATACAGGACAGCAGTCACAATTCCTCCTTTTTCAGTTAACTTTTTTTCATGAAACAGAAGACATAAAAATCAAATCCAAAGACTTCCAATTGCTCAATTAAATGATGAAAGATTATTGACAGAAGACAATCCAAAACAGTAAGACCAGGCACAATCTCTACCTAAGTTAAAAGTATTAAGAAATTTGGGTTTCATAATGAATAGAATATATAAAGCTTAATAACAGAGAACAATAACAAATATATAGGCCAGAAAGCACATACTTGAGCTTTGCCACTGAGTTCTCCACCACAGCATAATTGAATAAAATGCCAATAGAAGAGCAGTGCCAGCCATTATTACAGCCAAACCAATCAGGTCCCGACCCAGTATCACAATCAACCAGGAGCCCCAAATGATAAGCACCAGAATTGGTGAAACAACGACAACCCATGCAGAAAGATTCAGGAAACCACAGAGCAAATGGAGTTGAGGACCTTGCAAGATATTTGGCCATTTCCGAGCAAAGATCCAACTGGAAATAGACACAAATAAATTAAAATATATGAAAAGAAGCCCAAAACAGTGTAAAAAATTCAGAGTACTTAATTATCACGACAAAAGCAGAATAAAATGAACTACTATTTCTTCTCAAAACATATGATATGAGATGACAAAGTAATGTACCAAAAAATTGAGCGTATCTGTCATTGAAAAACAGTCAAGAGGCCAAGAGCTTACATTCAACAATCCAGCAATTTTTAGAATTAATCATAATAGATCATATCAAAAAATGAAGTGCCATTATCCAATTAGCATAAAAGACACTGTGTACCATTCCTATAGGATATTTCAATGAGCTGTAGACAACTGTATAAATTCTGTTTCTAATCCATTGGAATCACATATTGCTATATATGCTGGACCCTCATCATTAAAAGATTAAATTCATTTTTGGCCCAATCCCAACTAGCAAGATGCCTTTGAACAACCGATCTACACTCAACCACCAAGAGTGCATCATCCATCAACACCTTTCTCTGCTATGGAATCTTCTCCAACATTGTCCCCAACTATATTTTCTAACTCTAATTCCAAAAAATCATAATTCTAAGAATTTTTTAAATTGGTGCTTGTGAGTTGAACCAACAATCAAAGGCCACAATCTTCACTGTCTCATCAATACATTACTTGCACCAAAATTTCTCACAATTCAAAATAGCAGGGAAAATCACATCTCTAGATCCTATCCGATAGGACTTTCAAGACCAGTTGATATTCTCTTGGTTACAATCATCAATTACTCAAATATGCTTTGCTCTCCAAACTTTGGATCAGTGTTATCAAAGGCAGATGGCAAAATATGGTGAAGGGTCAAACTTCCAACATATAAACACTATTACGGCCTATGGCACCACCACAGCAAGCCTTCCTTCACAAATTGCATATAGCAATTGGCAAAAATTCCACTAGACCATTCCACCATGACACCATTTAACAGCATGGATCAGATGCAACAGACCATTGAATTATGAGATAAAATTCACTCCTAGTTCCACTTTCACCTGAATCAAAGGCCAAACAAATTTGCACAGAACTTCAAAGCACAATGCTTTAAGATCAAACCATTTCCGGTGTATCTCATTAGAATGAATCCCAAATTGTCACCCTCACTGCAATTCACGATACAATTTAACCAAAGGAGTAACTCATTGAATTTCAAATCCAACTGAACAATATGATTCTGTTGTTTCATTGGTTAGCAATAGACCCGATCAAATGTCAATTCAATAAAGTCAAACCTAGTCATAATGAGAGGCTTCTTCTAGACAAATTTCAAAATGAAACTATAGATATGGTAAATGTGGTAAAATCCTGTCTTGTTCAGGAAACACCATCACAAGCCACCGTTGCACAAAAACATTGTCTCAGGTACTGAATATCCTGAGTTCAACAATCCCAACCCTGTCCCCAGTGGTCGCCAGGGTCACCCTAGTGGCCACAGATTTCTTGGTGATCGTAGACATGACTCTATTCAGTAGCAACTCTGTTTCATGTTTGATCATGATGCTTCCAGTTGCTACAACCATTTAAATCAGAGTTTAGGCCAGAGTCAGACATGCAACGGGGTTGCATTACTATGCCAAGGATTAACACCCCTAAAAGATTAAGCTAATAAGTGAAAACTTATGATTGGCTTTATATCTAAGATCCCCCCACACATGATCCATTGGGCTTGACCTGAAGCATATAAAATTATATGCCCATCTGGCCTTATGCTTAAACACTTTATTAAAAATAATGAGGGTGGAAAGGTATGCACTCTTGTCATGGATGCTCTAATATCATATTAGAGATCAAACCCCTCAAAAGTTCAAGCAATTTGGTGAAGGCTCGTGAATCAATGCATTTTCTTGCTTCTTTTTTCAAAGTAATAGTCGATTTAGAAGGACTCCTTGATCTGTACTCTATATCTAATGAATTTCTATTTTATCCAAATAAAAAAAAAAAAAAAACAAATGAGTATCCAATTCGAGTATTCCTAGAGCAATGGTATTAAGATTCATAAAGAGGTTAAAAAAAGAGCAGCCTAATGTACAAGCTCCAATCATTGCATGTTATGAGTAGGGTCTGATATACACATAACTTTACTTCCACCAGAGGGAAGATGTTTTTTTTACTATACCATGACTATTTTTAGAATTCAAATGTAGGTTGAAGTTTCATATTTGGTAGAAATGAGAAAATTGAGTAACATATAAGTCAAAAAGACCCACAAAACCAATGTCTTGAGGTTTTTGGTTGAAAGTTGTATCATATTATCTTATTATATGATTGTCTTGTGTTCCATTTGTGAATATCTCTCCAATGTTACCCCCTCGCAAATACCCAACAACTACCACAATGTAACGCAACCACCTTATGGTTGTGCTAAGGCTTACCCTCCAAGGGGATTTTCCCAACATACCCCCTCACACTCAGCATCATTGGTCTTGGTATATATGATGGGTGACCCTTCTGATGGATTTACAATAGGTTTGGGTACCTTCTTAGAATATGGATTTAGACATAAGTCAACCCTACAAAATGGCCAGTAAAGTAAGAGTTTTCTCCGACTTTATATTATTTCCAAACTCTACTTGGAAGAGAAATACCGAGGGTGGAGAAAGACCTCTAAATATGGAATTTTATATCCCGTCCAGTAAACCTTCAAAAATTCAACGAAAGAATCAATGTTTATCTTGGATAAAGCAGTGGCTTGAGAGACACATCTTTAGGAAATTAATTGTCAAGAACCCGCATGAGTTACCCGGCAAAATGCCCACATTGGTGACATTGACAAATACAAATTAAAAATTACATTCATCTAATTTAAATGCAAATCGCATATATGGAATATGTGTAGCTCAAATAAATTATATTTCTTTAAATATATTCCTTAATCCATGTTATTATTTCTTCAGATTTTGACCACTGATACTTAAGATTCCAACAGATATACTAAAACTAAAAACCTAATATATATGGCTATAAGTTTCATTCATATAGTCCCTTTCACTACTTTAGTCCAAAACATAACAACGGTTATTTTCTAAATATATCGCATTGAAGATTTAAAGTTTAGACAGCTCATCTAACACTTGGCACCCATCCCCCAAGCGATACTCTACTGTCAACACTAGCCGTTACAGCATTACTAGCATGCATCTTCACGTGGATTCCGACAAAAATACTTAAAAGGAACCGCAGAGTAAAAGACAGCAAAACATCAATACAAGGAACCAACGAACTCGTACCCCCACAGCGATTTCCCATGTAAAGAAATTCCAAGCTACTGGCTTGCACAGTTCAAAATTGGTAGCAAACCACCATACATAGCAAACCATCATAAAAACCAAAAAGCAACGCGCCCTAATAATCCACACGTAATTCCAAGATTGTAAAACAAATGTAGCTAATCAGTTATGCATTTGACAGTAGAACACAGCAGCCAATGCAAGTGAATATAAAATCATCAATCACTTAAAAACAAGTAGTAATTCAACTAACAGAAACCAACAGCATTAACAGTGCAGCAGACAATTCAATCTTAAAACTATAAAAAAACACAAAGCACCAAGTCAAAACAGGTAAACAGAAACAAGAATCTGGATGAAACACCTATAAATTCGCCAGGGCCTCCAGTTCACAGCCCAGAGGATGAAGAAGGAAGCCAACCCTAACACCGAGAAGAGGATCCCGCAAATCACGGACGCGAGGAGAAGCGCACGGTCCATGCCTCTTCCTCCTCCTTCACACTCAAACAACGCGCATGCACCTGATTCCAGCCACAGAAAAAGCAACCGCAACGATTGAGACTAGTATGCCCGAGAATGCAGAAACAAAACGAACAAATCCCTCACTTACCTTACTGTTGTGAACTGAAATGGCATCAACATAGTGGCGAATTCAGTGGAAATGCGTCATGGCTGGAGCAGCTAGGGTTTTCAAATGAGAGTTGAAGGATGCTAGGGTTAGCAACAGCGAAAATTTGAAAGAAGAAAAAATGAGAAGAAAAAGAAGAAGAAGTAGAAGGGTTTGTAATTTTGTTTGGGTTTCTCTCTCTCAAACTCGGATTGTACGTTGCAGAGGGTAAAGGATTAGTGAACATTAAAACCCTACTCTGCCCCCTTCTTCTCTTTGCTCAACCTCTGTCACCTGTATCAAGTAAAATATAAAATATTAAAATAAATAAATACAAAATTAAATTAAATTCTTTCTTTTTCTCTCTCTGCGTATGAGAGAGGGTAAAGGTAGTTTCTAAAGACAAATAATACCCCCAATAACTTAGAAGAAAAAAAATGCTTTAACTTATTTTATTACCCTTTCTATTTTTTTGACCATTACTCAACAGTTTAATTTGGACCAACTGCACCACACTTTTCAACACTCCTAAAACTTAGTAATTTTTTGTAATAAATTAAATTCGTCAAATAAAAAAAATAAGAGTCACGCCATTTAAATAATATATATATTTAAATGTGATTTTGTTTCTGAGAAAGTCAATAATAGAACAGTGACTTGTTTAAAAAAGTGTGGATTTTGACATTTAAATAGAATTTTTCGCATTCTTTTGAATGTGGGTTCATTTACTTCCCGTGAATGTGTCTGTCTTGGAACTTTAAAAATTTAAAATTAATCAAATCAAGATTAAGACATAAGATTAAAATTAAACAGGAAAATAATTGAAGAGGGTAGCCATCGATTCTTAATGTTTAAAACCAAAGTCTTATTATTTATTGGAACCCCAGATTCTCACTTCTTTATCATTACATATATTAATCATGTTTTATTTTGTTTAGTTAAAGATGTTCCTGTCCTAGGTTTAATTTTCAAGAATGTTACAATTAATTGTTTGTTTAAAAACACTGGTATTAATTACGATTTGACTAAAACATTCCTATCTTCTTTTTCTTTAATATGATTTCGGATCTTTTTAATACACACTCATCTTTTTCTAAAAGTTAACTAATTATATTTTTTCTTCTTTTACTTTAATTTACTTGACAATTATTTTTCCCATGTCTCTATAGGTTACTTCTCTTTAAAATAATAATAATAATAATAATAATAATAATAATAATAATAATAATAATAATAATAACTTTTTCCACGATTATACCTTCATTATTATCTTCTTCTCATTGTAATTATTGTTTCTTTATCCCGTGTTAATTAAATGTTCTTTTTTATCATTAAGTTATTCATGATTTTGATTCCTTTGTTTAATTTCCATTAGTGGGTAGTTTTTCCTCTTTTGTCTTGTGATTATTTTCTTTCACTAATTGTTCATAATAATTTTAATTCTTTTACGTTTTTTTTTCATATTTTATACGCAACAGTTAATCATTATAATTGTTGATGAGTTTCAATACGAGATATTTTATACTTTGTTAATAAATTTTTCGTACATGAATTGATATTGTAACTCATCCATGCACTTTTGATTGTTTTGATTCATTAGATGTTTTGTATAGTATAAGTACAAGAATGAGATAAAAAATTATTTGTATATTTATAATAAATGTATGATATTAGCTTGATTAATTCAAACAACTAATTTAAATAATAACTAAATTGAACAACTAAGGGATTTTTATAAATACATGACACGATAAAAAAAAAAAGTTAAATGAAAATGAGATATAATTAACAAACAAAATTATATTAGTCAAATGTGTTTGAGAAAAATATGTGTTTATTATTGATAGGTTTCACTGTAAATTAATATGACAATTTATTCTGTAAATAATATAAAATTAAGTAAATATTTTTTTTATCAGATGTATTTTTACACTCTCAGGTTTATCATAAAGTAATTATGAACGGATTTAAATATATAAAATTAGAGGTACAACATAAAAAAATTTAGACACTTAACAATAATTTAACAAAATCAGACATAAAAAATATGCATTATATATATATATATGTATATATATATATATGTATATATATATATATGTTCGTAGGAAATATAAAAAACACTTCATGACAACGTAGTTAAAAATGGTTGTCTTTATCAAATAAAAAGTTTCCTCCATTGTCACACTTAACGGAAAAAAAAATCCATTTTCTTGTTGCTCAAACTCTTTGTCTTGGGCAACCAATTGTAAGTTTTTCTAAAATTTAAAGTTGAAAATATTTGTTTTTCATTATTAATATTTTTTAAAAATAATATCATCATGAAACATTGTTTGTCAAACAAATTTATATATGTTTTTGCAAAATTGTTTTCATGGATGGATGTAATGTTTATCTGTGTAGCTATTCTTTGTTTTCATTTTTTTATTCTCAACTTTTATTTACAGAAGTTTCTCTATATTTTCAGTATATTTTATGCTTTAAAATATATGCAGGGAATAAAAAAACAATTTTATTGATAATAATGGAAAATAGAAAACACAAAATCGTTACATTTTGTAATTTAAATATAGATTCCTTTATAAAAAGAGAAAAATATAACAAAAGTTTATGTAGCTAGATGTAAAAGTTACCATGAGCAAACATCAATTAAAATAGAGAATTGTATTCTTATTATTAAACTCAAACAAAATATTCATTTAAAAATCACAATTATACATTTAAAAACTGAAAGGTCACATGAAGTTCTTATATAATTTATATTTATATTTTATTGATATCGTCTATTATTTATGCATTTCTCTTTAAAGACTCAATATTGATATTAGATATGATGGTTTATGTGATGACTTATAATTTAATAGTAATTTTTGTATCAAAAGTTTTATTCACGATGGGTCAAATAAACGTGTCAGTTATGATAAAAATGTATTATAAGAAAAGTCACTAGTGAACTCGAAGAAATGTAGATTGTTGAAAATTCAAATATAAGTTTAAGTCTATATTGAGCAAAAATAATAAAATTAAACAACATAAAAGACTAAGATTTTTTGTTTTTTTTTAAGATGATTATGTATAATTGATATTGTTTTTTTCTCATAAATCTCTTTAAAAGACTCAACAATATAATTATAATAATAATAAAAAAAGATATATCGAATACTAATTTAAAAAAATATTGGGATTGAATTATTAAATAATAATATAAATAAATCATGTTAAATTCACTCGTCTTGATGAACTATGAAATATTACGTTAAATATTATATATATGATATTTTGATTTTTTTTAATTTTAAAATTAATAAGTTTAAAAATAAAAATTGAATTGTTCTACCTTTTGAAGTCCTTGAGACAATTATATATTTTTTTTCCTCTCTTTATAAACATAATAATTGAGTGTCACTTGTTTTTATCACCGGTACTTTTTTTTGTTTTATAATTTTGTTATTAATTTAAACACTATACATTATTACATTTGCATTCAATTACCTTTCTTAACATTTCATATAAACCTGATATTGATAATGACCGTAGTTAATTTAAGAATTCAAATTTATTTATTAATCTCTATCACAAAAGATATGAAGCAAGTTTACTAACACTAACAAGTTTATTAGCACTAACATAACAAAAGGTGAATTTTTAAATACAGCAACCAATATTATATTTTTTTTATCATAATTGAAATGATGAAGTGTAATTTTTGTTATCAATGTTTTTTTATAATGAAAAATCTTACTTAGAGTTTTTACTTTCAACTATATCTTGTGGTATAAAAGATTCAAACTTTAATTAAGAGATCTGAGTCCAACTTCATTGTACCAAAAAAATGTTGGTAACTAAAGTGCAAAGCTTGGGAAAATATACTCATATTTAGTTAAAACAGTCTGTTTATTTTTATTTAAATGAAGTCGTTTTCAACGTGTTAAGGAAATGTGTGCTACATTAATTTTATTTAGAATAATATTATTTAAAAAAATTTGAAAATTTTAGTATAAATCAATGATAGAAAAATTTCAAACCTAATTTGTCTTTCTCTAAGTAGACTTAATAAATTTAAAGATATTATTTCTAGCTTTTATATAATGTATTTTATTTTACAACTACATATTATTATATATAATACATTCAACATCATGTTTTTATAGACACCCCTAATTTACTCTGGGCTTGTTCAAAGATATTCTCCTGAATATTCCCTGGTGAAAGAACATTACTACTGAAGTCATGGATTTGAACTTTCGAATCTAATCAAGAACCTTCAAACCGTTAAAAAAACATTACATGATTTATTGATTAGATTTATAGAAAACATAGAAAAGTTTAAGGATGCAGGAATAACCAATTTGACCCAAGTAACTTACCTAACTAAAAACTATATATATATATATATATATATATATATATATATATAATCCAATTCTTGAGTCTTCAAAATTTCCATTTATAATTTAGAATGATTCTTAACATATATAGTGCAAGAAAACTATAAAGTGGCCCTAGGACTTTTGGCACCGCATGTTGACATGCTTTAATGGAATACAACGATGGATTTGCAGGATGAAGAAAGTGATTGAAAATGTGTGGTGGAAGAAGTGGGCCACTTTTACCAAAAAAGTTGAAAAACAAAACAAATAGTACTGTCAGCCATTCACATGCAAAACTTTTTTCAGCATCTTTTAGTCCAAAGCTTTAAAACAATTTCATTTTTTCTTCCATTGGGGTCACTAACTTTCACTTTTTTATTTGACTGGTTTTCATTCAAAGCATGGCCTAATGTACCATATAATCATTTAAAATTATGGATTATCATTTAATTTAACATTAGTGTGACTCATTCTAGTTTTGGTAATCACATAAGACTAACTCCATTGCCATTGACAAACACTCCTAAAGAGAGAGGAGTGGACAAACAAATAAAATACAAAGATGTTATAAAGGTAGGCCTGTTTCTTTAGGCTTTTGAGAAACTTGGCCACACTTCTCCACTTGCTTACATGGAGAATCTTTCAATATTAGCAAGGAAAAAAAAAACAGTCAAAACTTTCCACTACAGAAAAGGGTATACAAGATGGTAGAGAAGGGCTTTAACACTAGGATTGAATGATACAAGAGGCTGCAAATTTTTTCTTCTTTTTTTGTTTTTTTGTTTCACAACATCATTACTCTCATTGACAATTAGGATTTTTACCAGGGCCACCATAGTAAAAGTAATGACCCCAATCCCCATTACTTCCTGTTTGGACATCATAACAGTTTGATTGCTCAGTGAAGGTGCCAAGGCCTTTGGGAGCCTTGAGATTGTTGGAGCTATCAACCACTTGAATATTCCTGAAGTAGCTTGCCTTCCCAAACCCCTCTTCAGGGAAATGACCACTGCCCATTTGAGTTGAGGTGTGCTGACCATCAGGCTCAGAATTCACAACTTCACCTCCCCACTCAATCATGGAAGCACTGTCAGCCAGATACGAGAAGAGGAAGGATGGCCAATACCCTAACACATAGTCATTCCCAAATTGCATCCACCAGTGTCCCTCTTTTGGGTCCTACAATGATGAAAAATAGTTAATAATGTAACAAAGTCCATGACTTCATTAAGCATATCGGTTAGCTCAACATTAGTAAAGAGTATGTTGTATGATTCTAACAGTCATCTAAGGTTGAAAATGCAACATGTATGTGCTGGCATGAGTTTTCAAAGTTCCTGAGGTTGTATTGTAACAGTGCTCCTGTCAAATATTTACAATGGGGTCCATATCCGTATCTCGATCAAAAGAAATTTAGAGATACCCCTGTGCTATAAAGAAGAATCCAATTATGGTGGCAGTGCTACCAAGAGTGCCTTTTGATGCTATACTACCGAGTTAATTAGTGAAAACACAGACATCTGGTATTTTCCACACGTCATGTTTCATACGGATGGTTGAAAGATTATATGTTTCCAATAATCCAAATATTTAGGAGATTACAATGTTCCACATGTCAAACACCTAGTTGGAAGAATAATGAGATGAGATCCATGATGCTTTGAGGATGGTTTCTATTTTTAGATTTGAGTAGGAAAATTCCTGGAAATTTACCTTCCAGATAAGTATACTGATATCGAACTGAGAGTTACGGTATCCAGAAACTGGGGTAATGGTTGCACCCATTGCTATTTCACTATTGACTTGAATAAACCCCGAGCAGAGAAGATTGTAGCAACCAGTGGCTTGATATGCATCACTCTGCAAAATGCAGCAAGTGAGTTAGATTAAAAAAAATATTATTCTTTCACCAAACATACATCAGAAGCTCAAAACACAAGCTCAAGTCGTAGAAGCTTACAGTCCAGTAGGTGAATAACCGCGTGTTGTTATCACCATATAAATCTGGGCTAACCTGTTATCATGGAAAAGGAGTCATTACACGTCACAAGAGAAATTCAGAATAAAAAGGAAGATAACTAGTTTGCACACTCAAACTAAATGAATAGTGGTTCTTATTACCTGCCAGCCAGCTTCAATGCTGTTGAGATCTTGACCAAATGAGCCTCCTAATATCCACAGCTGAGACAAACTGAACTCATTAGGTTGTTGTATCTTGGGTTCCCACACATTTATAGTGGCTTTGGCTCCATAATACTTGTCTCCTTCAACATATGCTATTGCATGCTGATTAACAACAACCCACAAAAACACAATTAGGAAATTAGACCAAGGCTACTGCCTAATAGAGGAAACAATAAAATCTGATAACACAAAGAGGCCCTCAAAACAGTTCTTACCTGATGACCACTCTGGTTAATCAGATCAGGCTCTGCAGACCTAGGCTTAGGGATTGCTCTGTGCTTCTTCCTACCATACATTTTGACTGAACTTGCTCTCAGAACATCCTCCTCTTTTGTTCTCCTGATGGGTATTGTGTCCTCGGGGCATCTACCATTCGCATGCCACGCCTGAGTGATGGGGGTATGGACTTTCGCTTTAGGCTTTTCAGATAACTTGTTCTCATCAAAAAGCCCTTCAGGGTGGAAAGTAGGTCTTGTCTGTGAAATCAGAGCATGGTGTTAGTGAACAGATACACATTGGAAAAAAAAAACAACGAACAGAAAGCATAGATCTTGAGTGAAGAAAATGGACCTGAATCTTGTGATCTTTGAGGAATGGATGATCAAATGCAGGCTGCTTAGAAACAGGCACACAGTCTATCGTATCCCCATCTGGACTCTGCAACATTGACAACATCACGCCATGTTATTAACTTTGAAAACACCGTGCACAAAAAATTTAAAACCTTGTAGTGTCTAACAACTACTTCGAATCCAGTGGCTGACTGAAAAAGAAGATAAAAAAGTAAATCATTACCCTCTCCTTTCGTTCAGTACTTTCTGTTACTGCTTCAAAATTCAATCAATAATTCCATCAAAAGGGCTAGGGCTATGATTTCCCTTTCTATATTCGAGGGTGTATGATGGAGAGAAAAAACAAATAGTTTGCTTAAGAAAACACGATCTACATTATACAGAACAAAGAGAAAAGAAACAACAAAATAAACCTAGCAAAAATAGAATCAGCAGCTTGCAAGAAGGGATATTTTAAGTGAAAATGCTTGAAAGGTACAGAACCATTTCAGTAACATTTCCCCTAAAATAAACAAGGGCCAAACCAAAAAAGTAATCTTTTTTATTCACAAAACTATGTATTTTCATTGGGTGTCAAGCAGATTAAAACAAGCACAAAACCCAAAATGGGGTGGACGAAGAACATCCTAAAACACACAACACACTAAAAATAGAGAGAGAGAAAGAGACCTGAATGGTCTTAACAGGAGACTTGTTCAAGCGATTCAAGTGCTTAGCAACCTCAAGCTTCTGCCTAGAAGCACTGAGCCTAGCAGCAGAAGAGAGAGAGATGAACACACCCCATAGACAGAAAACAAGGAGAAGAGTCACACCACAACCACCACTATAACCCATCACAACACCACCCTTCAAAAATGCACCCTCAACCTCAGAGTTGACACCCCTCAAAACTCTTCAAGAGTGAACTTGCCCCTTTCACCTTCTTCAGCCACAAAAAAATTCCAATGGGACTAACTAGCCAGGCCACACCCCCACTTTTCTCACTTCCTATGAAGGCAAAGGGGTACCCACTAAACAGCCACACTAAGCTAACCCTCTTTTGTTTTATTCCTCTTTCTTCAAATCACCCTTTTCTCTCTCCTTCCACTTTCCATCATCATAATAATATATATTATTAACCATTCATTATTCATTCATTAAATTAAATAATTAAACAAAAAACGTCACTTTCTAGCTCCCTCTTTCTTGTCATTTTCCTATCACCTTCGTTACAACTTAAATACAATACACTATCATGGTCATCTTCTTTATAAAAAATGTTTAATTTTTAGCCATTTTTTATAATAATAAAAATGGGTTAAATGTTTGCACGAGGGAAAACAGAAAGCGTGGGAAAAGAATAATAAAAAAAAAAAAATGAAAATAAAAGAAGAGTCATCTTGTGGGTCTGTGTGTTCTCAATTTTCATGAATGCGTGCAGTGTCCTCACGCTACTTTTGTCGTTTACATGGACACTGATGTGAAATTGCGAGTTGTGAAGTGTGTGCAGAACCCAATGGCTTTACCGTTTACACCTAGCATTCAAAAATCAAAAGAAGAAAAGGGTTTCTAAAATGCATAAATATCAAAAAAAATAATTAAATTGTGAAAAATGTTGTTTTTATAACATTTTATTCAACAAAAGATTTCCCTTTCTTTTAAGTGGTTGTTGCCTAAAACATATTTCACTTTGTAGACTGAAATTTTCTTCTTCTTTGTAGCAAAAGAGACTGAAATTTTGCTTTTAAGTTTGAAAAGAGCAACTTTTGTCCTGGGTTCTGACTGTGACTATCCGTTACTCACTATTTTTATTTAATTCATTCACTAGAGAGTCTATTAAAAAATTAACTGCTATTCTTCTATTTATAAAAACATTATTTTTTCTTTAATTGTTGGAACAAAATATTAAGAAGTAATGATATTCTTATGAATAATCAATGAATAAAATGGGTTCATTAGAAGAATTAGGTTATTTAATTTGAAAACAAAAAAGTCAAATTAACTGGATCTGTTATTCTATACAAGTCAAGTTAGAAGGAAAACTATAAACTCCAAAATTAGTACGTCTATATCATTTTTCTTTCGTTTTTAAAAATTAAAAAAACGTATAAATTAAAATATAGAAAGTAAAAGAACCAAATATGTCTAATAAAATGAGACAAGAATTCTGTGACAGAGAGGATCTTGAAATTTAATAACAACTTATATAATAAGATTTTATCAAAAATTATAGTGTACTTTTTATTTACATTTCAAAATTTATAATTTACAATCATTAATTTAATTATCAAAATAATATATTTTTTTAGAATATATATACAAATTTTAATTCTTAATTTTAAGTCTCCTTAGTTTTTTTTTTAAATTAAAGTTTTCTTATAATAGTATAACACATCACAAATGTGTGCCTACATATTACTTCTCAAAAAAATTTTACATTACTTGACTAAACACATAGTGAAAATTTACACGGAAATAAATGTGGAGATACACGTCATAATGGAACATGAACTATTAAAATGATTTTTCTTAAATAAAGATACGTTATAGCAGTACCAACTCTGAAAAATTTATATAAAATGATGTAACTGAAATTTCTCAAAAATAGATATTTTAGATTTTATTCTTCTTAAAAAAACAGTCGACATCAAGTTATATTAGAAATAACATATGAAAAACAAATTTCATCCTTTTTTTTATTAAAGTCAACCTCATTCTGGTGAAACATTTTGAGAAATAAATGATATACGGAGAAATTTTGAAGAAATAGAAATTCATGGATAAGAAACTCCTGGAGTTCCATTCCCCTCCGATAACAAGGAGACAAAATACACAAATCAAATGATTGAAGAAGAAAATGGAAATATGATTTCTGTAGCAGTTACTAGAAAACATCTTTAGATGTTTTTATTGGTGACAAAGTAATTTTGCTTTTATTGAGTAACAAAATGAAGGATAAAAACTTACAACAAAAGTACTTGATTATCATAAAACCAGAATAGCAAATTACGGATAATAAGATAATTGGTCCAACAAGTTATAGGTTGTAAAAATTTTATATAAGGTGGAAGACTCCTCCTCCTCTCTCTCACTACTTTCTTATCTCTCATTTCTCTCCTCCTTCTCTCTATCCCTCTTTCTTATGTATATTTTTCTCCACAATAAAAAAAGTATTTTAAATCACACTCTCTCCTTCCCCATCTAAGTATTTTAAGTCTCCTTAGCTTTTAAAAAAAAATTAAAGTTTTATTATAATATGTAAATTATTCAATACATTTTTCTCTATATTTTTATTATATTTGTATTTAAATTTATTTTAATTTAATGCATATATAATTTTAAAATATAAATTTTTATTTCTCAAATTATAAAATTTTAAAAATAAATAAATATATCACAAAGTTTTGAGAAAATAAAGATACTGAAAACAAAAAAGTGTAATTAAAAATTAAAAAGTATTTTAAATTTTAAAAAATAAAGAAACATGTGATTAATATATATATATATATATATATATTATTTTTTTCTCTAATAAAAAAATAATTACAAAAAAGAAAAAAATTATATCCATTATTATAGATGAATTAAAGATTATCTTATTTAATAAAATATGCTACTTCAATTTGATTGATTTTCATACTAGTAATTATAACTTACCTTGACATGAGTTAATTTTTCAAAAATGTAGTAAAATACAATTATTAAAATAATTATTTATGATAGTTCTTATTAGTGACTGATACAAAAACTCTTATATATGAAAATCAAACTCGATTGTTATAAAAATTATTTTCAAGCACCAATTGCTGCTAAGCATTTTCACTCTGCACAATTTGAAAGAACATAATTAGAATACTTAAGTTTTTGACCGATTGACTGCAATGAGTACCCACTCTTGTTCTTCCACAGCATAGAGGATAATGTGAATCAGTAATTCATCATTTGATAAATGAATAAGTGGGTCCATTTCTCAGTAAAAAAAAATTTTAAAAATGTGCATTATTTTTAATCATTCAGAAGGGAATCCAATGAAAAAAATATTTTCTGTGATTCATGAACATAACATAATAAGTATACAAATCTCTGAGAGAATCACTTGTAACTTGGCGTCGCTTCCACGATCATGTGTTTGTTTTTATTTAATTAATTGTTGGTTAATCAAAAGACAAAGATTCCTTTGTTCCAATTCTAAAATATGTTTTCTTTTGAATCCTATTCCATTATTTTAGAAATCCTAATGCAATTCTCTGTCATCGACAGATATTTCAATAAAATAGTTCTCATGATAAGATTACCCATAAGCTTTGTTTTCTCTTTTTTTTTTAAATAATTTTATAAATTATATTATTTATTATAAATAATTTTGATACATTTTATTACCATCACATATTACTAGTTGTTAGACCTTGCAACCACTTGTTATATTTATGAACAAATATTGACTACATAAAATTAATATAAATTATTGTTTTGAAAAAAATGGTTTATATTTTAGAGATTTCATAAATTAGAAATATTTGTTCAACATGTTACATGATACATGAAACCTAAACATTTAACAAAACCTAAATAATGTCACTTGCACATGTCTAAAAATGTGTTGGGTGGACAATAAAATCAAATGGTTGTTACCATTGAAATTGTTGTTTTATAAATAATTATTAATAATCATTTTGATAATTCTTATTATTATTTATTGTGATAAATATGATGTAACAATAATAAGAATGTAAAATAGTATAATAATAAATTTTATCATAGTTAATTTAAAACTTAAGACATAAATTTTAAAATTATTTTTTTATTATTTTACAAATATTAAAAATTATTATAAAAAACTCAACTTTTGAATACAATTTTTTTTAATATCAAATATTTAAAATAATAAATTTTATATTTAAATTCAATAAATCAGTATAATTATGATATTCAAATTATTTATTTTGTATAATTAAAATATCATAGCTTAAAATTGTATAATTATGTTTCAATAGTTGCTGGACAAGATTATAACTTAACTATATTTTTTAATATCATAAATTTTGTGATTTTTTTCTACTAGTTTTAAACACCTCGGTTCAACGTTAAATCACCAGAATTTCATAATTTTTAAATGTATCAGACTTAAACTATTATTATTTAAAATTGTTTAATTTTTTATTCAAATAAAATATTTTTAAGTATCATTAAATATAAAATTTGTTTTATATTAAATAACATTTAATACAAATAAAAATCTATAAATTTTAAAGAAAAAAAAGCCAATGATTGCTCATGCATATATTTTTAAGTGAAAATATACTATATAAGATTAGTTCATTATTTTGTGCATTTAAAATGGTTAATGATCATGCTATCTACAATATTATTATATGACAAAAAGACACTTATAAAATTTGTGAAACCAAAATTGGTTATTTACTTTTAAATGAATACTAAAAATTTAAAATTATAATTTGAAAATTTAAAATAATAATTTTCTACAAATATTAAAAATAAAAACCAAAATTAAATTCACTCATTCAAAATGGATGAGTTAATAGAAAAACATTATATTTGACAAATTCATTTTTGATAATTTTTCAAATTAAATATTTTCAATCTATTTTATAGAAAAGAGACAAAATACTAGACCTTTTATCTAGGATAGCAAAATCTATATTTGAGATTTTTTTTTCTACAACTACAAGATTTTCATTTTATATTTCCCAAAAAAAAAGATAAAAGATTTTGACATTGTAATATACAAAAAATAAATGTATTTTGATATTAAGATAAAATATTTAACTCATTTATCTCGAAGTATTATGATCATTATTGTGTTAAATAATATTTTTGCTTTAAATAATAACTTA